TCTTAGTCTTGTTAAACGTGAAATAATTATGTGGTACATTGTATCAAAACATTTGATCAAAACAAAACTCTCTCCTTGAACAATACATGTTCAAGCCAGTTTGCCACCACTCATTGGTTTTGTCTTTGGCCCTAATATACTTCACTTAAATTTAAAAAGCAAGAACCTGCTTAGCTTTTAATATGCTGCACATTACTCTGAACCATGCTATGAATGCAAAACAGAAGTCCACTCTTCAGCCCTAAAGACAAAACACAACTTTATTTGGCCATGGCTGAGTCTTCACATTCAAACAACCAACAAACTCCCTGCGTTCCTCTCCACCACAGCACATAACAAAGCCTTATGATGCGGCCTCCCATTCAGATGCCTGTTGCTGCGGGGAAGTCAATTTGGCTTGTTTTGGTTTGTCTGCCACCATTCACTCCATGCTTGTTGTCATCTGTTTGGAAGGTGAGGCGATATTGAAAAAAAACATTGAAACTCCTTACTTCTTCACAGCAACCTGGACGAGTCTTCTCTGCTTAAACGTGTCCTGGTTTGGTACATATTGTATTCAGTTGTATCTATAAATAAAAACTGTGATGGTGGTGCAAAATGTAACTTAAATAGAGCCAGACGGATGCCACTTTAAAACATTAAAGATATAAAGGATTACACAGCTCTGTTACAAGATGAAAGAATACGTTTGGTGTCAAGAGTTCACGGTCACTGACAGTTTGCCAACCACAATGTGTGGTGCACTGCAGACATCATACCAGAGGCCTGTACTATGAAGCTGGTTCAACCTAACCTGGATATGTTTGAGTTAGCCGGTTGGCCCAATCCAAAACATACGCGCTCTGGCTAAACTGTACTACAACGCTGGTTATCAAGTGGATCGCTCAAGCCAGCCGTGTCCTATCTAGTTAGGTGCGCGTTCACATGAAAGGGGTGGTATTTGGAGCATTCGACCAATCTCAAACACGGACAAGCGTACTGACAGCGCAGCGTCATACTTCCTCCTGAATGAAAAGTGAACTTTAATATTAGTCAAATATGAAGAAGTTAAACTTTAAACATCCATGTCTTAAACACTTTATCCAGGATAAAAGCCACATAGCTGCACCTGCAAGGTGAATACAGCTGGTAAAAGAAAAAGTGTTTGAATGCGTACATTAACAGGTTTATGAAATCACTGCCCCGTCCAAGACACGAGTGGATCTGACTTTAATTAGGAGAATTTGACTCGAGTGTTTCATCAACTTAATGTGTTGCTTAAAATAATATTTCTGCATACAGTATGTGACACTGTGAGTGTTGCACGGCCAGATACGGCTCAAGAAGCTGCCTCAAATAAGGAAATATATGATACATTATGATGTGATATGATATGAATGATAATGGGACACATCGACGTCTGCACTCACAGTGCCGCGGACTGTACTTAATGTTACTCTGATCCGGTTACTTATGTCGTGGCAGATATTTATGTAAGCTTTCTTAACACTAATGTTATAATAGTCAGATAGCTCTGAAGATGGGAGGGGATATTCTATTAATTTTCACGTTCACACAGTCAGTTGATTTTGGCCGGCCGTCTTTCCTGCAACGGCAGTTTTTCTGTATTTCCTCTATCCTGTAATATGAATTGATCGCTTTAAACTCCGCACACGGAGCTCTGATTGGTCAGCAGGCGGTGCTTTCACTGAGTTGATCTCTTAGCCTGCCACCTAACCTGCTCCGGAGCAGGTTTGCCGCTCAGCATAAGTTACCATGGAAATCTAGCCTGCTAAAAAGAGAACCAGCGTCGTAGGACCGGAAAGCCCGAGATTTCCCTGAAGTTAGCCGGCTAAGCGAAAATCCAGCTTCGTAGTATAGGCCTCTGAACACCTAATCATAGGTACTATTTTTTGCATCTTTCCAACATAAAAAACAATCAGATTCTTAGAATGAGAAGTTTTTGTAGCAAAGGGCAAGGTGAGGAAAATAGGTACATTTTGTATTCATATTATATTTGAATCACTGTTATATACACACATTTTCTTCCGAAGACTCCAAAAGCAAAGCAATATTTTATCATTCTAAAATCCACAAACTCCTTCGTCATTTCCATGTTTAAGTGCATCTGTGTTTAATGAGCTTCAAATCTATGTGCTTCAGAGCACTTTAAAATTATAATGATATCATCAAGCTAAAGTTAAACTAGTCTGCCTAGCTTGCAGCTACCATGCTCATTGCATGATAACAGAAAAGGGTAATAGAATAGGATAGAACCAACTAAATGTGATTATTTTTGCACTTATTGTTAAAGACAGTTTAGTCTGACTAATAATGTTGACGTTTCACGGGTGGCAACATCCAAAATACATCTTGATGAAACAGCCAGACTGTACAGTCAGCAAAACTACATCCTGAAATGTGGTGAAGATGAAAATGTTGACTATAATGCCCAGAGTGTATCTTTGTGTGTGTGTTGAAAACTACACACGGAATCCTTTGGGCATACACACAACTGAGGACACTCTTTCAGGAAGCGTACTTTTGACAGACATGTTTCAAAAAGCTGTATTAAAACTGTGACAGAACTGTTTACTCTCTTGAACTAAAGTAATAATTTCCTCAGGGAGGTTGTTTACACATTTGTGTTCTTTTTGTGGATACACAAACTATCATTCAGTGGCTTGTTTGTTTACAGTTTGTTCGAAGCAACCAGCTTGTAATTCATTGTTCCTCAGTAATGTAACCAGTGATTGAGGAGGCACTGCACTAGTTAAAACGTGTCCAGAATTGAAACACTTTGTCTGTATCAGTCTCATCTGTCTATGTTATCTTAATTTAGCATTGAAATAATTCTTGAAAAGGTTGTTGTTGGTCGAGGTTAGTTTTTTCTCGAGTGGAAGTATTTCTGCGTGTTTGTGAATTGGGAGATAAACAGGATGTGCAGATGTCTTGGAGCACATCACTGACCCAGTTATCATTCAATGTTCCCCAGATTTTGTTTTTGCTAAAGCAAGGCTGTGGGTGTCACAATGACATGCTTGGATTAAAGTAAAAGTAATCGTTCAGTTGTTTGAGGTGGAGCAATTGGTTTAGAGATCATAATTGCAGGATTATATCAAATAAAACGTAATGATGCTCATATAAAATGGTCATAGTAGGTGCAGCTACAAATTCCAGATACAAACCCAGATATGTTTTATGTAAACAAAGTTGAATAAAGAAGATTTAGAACAAACAAAGTCATGTACTGCCTTGTAAAATAGATGTGGGCTTATTTTTTGTTTTGAATTGGATCTGTTAGATTACAAGTAGTTTTGGTTCTGTGGTTCACCTCAATTTTAACTCAGCTCAAAGTGATGTGAGGAGACGTGCTATAATTAAACCAGACATGCAGGTTTAACAACCGAGGTAACAAACCATTTAAAATGTTAAATTACTCATTCAAACTTAGAGCATCAATTAAAAAGCATTACAAAACATGATTACAGGAACACGGTGGATGTTGCAGGAGATTTCTTTTTTTACTTGTGTCATCACATCTGTTCTCTGGTGGAAGAGTCCCTTCATAAAAAACAGAGAAGGTCACTGAAGGTCGCTGCGGTGAACACCAGCACGACCTCTGAGTGTCGGACACGTGGATGTTCTTTGCTTCAGTCAGATACAAATACAAAAGGGTCGTAGTTGGTTAATGGTAGTCATTTTAAGTTACACTTCATTATGACTAGGGGGAATACTACATTCTGCTTTGCAAGTAGTAGAACCCTTCAGTCTGTGTCCAGCAAATAAGAATACGGTTAAATGCCTTCATTTCATACTGAGAGAGCTAAGTGAAACCTTAACTGGTAAGGTTATGTTGTGTTGTGTGTTATTTGATGGTAAAGGGATTTTAAACAGGAGTGTTTCTCAGCTAGTATAGCAATTGTGTACCACCAAAATCGATGCATGATACCATTTTTTACAGCACTAAATCTGATTTAATTGTTATTTATTACTTTTTATTTAAGGTCTGAGAACTAATACCAAAGACTGAGATCAGTCTGTGTTTACTCACCATGTCTGAGGCCAGTCGACAAAGGTAACTGATTTTAAATTGAGTTATAAAATCTGTTTTTGTTCTATGATTAACTATTTTATTATGCCAGTTCTTCTCCACATTGGTTAGAATGTCATTTCTATGATCATGGCAGCTTTAATATGATGCTGCATCAGCACCTCCTGAGAATCCCCTGTCAGGTGACAGTGCTCAATGTGTTTGTGTACACAGGGTAGTTTATTGCTCAATTGGGTGCAATACCATCCTTCCTTTTGATCAACATGGACCAAACTTTTACTTTCATTTTGAGTTTCCTATTGCATGATAAAGTAGCTGAACATACAATCTCAGATACTGTTTACTTTCATTTATAAGTAATGGTCTAAAGTTCTGGCAAAATCTACACAACAAAAAGTATAAAGGCTTCTAACTGAAACTCTCTGGTTTCCTCCACATTGCACATTTCTCTAACTTTCTCCTTAAGATGATTCACTGATTAAACCCCAGAGAAGGCCTTCAGTCGTGTTTAAAGCTTTGTGTAACATCGTGTATACTTCCCTGAGCTGCTTGTTTGTTCCAGTACATGTTGTGTGTTTACATGTGGCAAAGATAACTGATTCTTGTTGAATATTCATGTAAACCAAGTACAAAATGTACAAGAGGAAACTAAATGAGATCCATATAAGAGCTGAAAGCAATCTGACAGATTCAATGGTGTGAAGAAATACCTTTTGACACCTTTTCCTTTTGTGTGGCGGAGTAAACAGGATTAACAAGAGTGTGTTATTAAAGCTGTAAGAGGCTCAACTTGAGTCTGTAATTATTGTTTAATATCCTCTGATTCTAGCTTGTTTCTCCAATGAACCCTGCCCTTAACTCACTCTTGAACATGATGTACCAATCCACTGGCACGCAACTTGCTAAACAGACGTGTGTACAGTTTACATACCAGTCAAGGTTTGAAAGAAAACACTGAGTGCAAACATTATTTTAATCTTTTTTATTAGAAAAGAAGTTTATAAAACTTTGGTAAGATTGTGAATGAACAATTTGTATAAAAATATATTTCAGTGCATGCCACAGAAGTCACACAGCTGACCCTGAAGACTTTGTTCATACTTTTACAGTTTTTTTTTGGAAGTTGAGGAACAAACACATAATCCTCCAGTCAGTTTTTGGAATGTTCTTTGTCCAGACATTTCAGTGGCATCTCCAGCTTAAGGCTGGCCTTGCACGCTGAGCACTGCGTTCTGGTTAGGCGTTACAAAGCGCCCCACAGCACCAACGCATCTGGCTCCCATCAAAAGCTTCAGACCACGTGGCTCAGCGTCTCCGTCTCCGTCTCCGTCTCCGTCTCCGTCTCCGTCTCCGTCTCCGTCTCCATCTCCTCCTCCTCAGCAGCTGGGAGAGCTAATATACGAGCGTATTGCAGCTCTATACACAAACTGCTTCTTCTATTTTATCACTGTGCTAAAATCAACAACAACCACAGCTATCTGACACTTCAGTGCCTTAAGCCTTGCATTAACACAACACCTCTCTTGGAATTCATACACATACAATCCAACCGTTTTGTTCCAAGTTCTTGAAGAATACATTCAGTGCTGTTAATCTCTTTGAGAGAACAACTCCCTGAAACTCTCATGCAATCTTCGACAGCAGTTAATTAAGGCATACTTATTATTCCCTTTTACATAATGTGACCTGCATGCATAAAGTTCATCTACAACTGCTTTCTTGACTTGACTGATCCACTTTCACACCTTCAAATACAGTATGTCACAGTAGACATCACAGGCTCCCTGCTGATGACCGACACAATGCATAGCACTGTAGGTTGTTAAGATCTGCTGAGCTTGCCAGGACAAGGAGAGTTGAAAAGTTAAGATTGCACTTTTCTCTGTACGCTTATCAAAGAGGATAACAATAAATCATCTTATAAAGAGTGCTTTTTTAGAACATTTGAACACCAGTTGCAATTTCAACTCTCCACCTGACAATTTTCAAGTGATCTTTCCCCACAAATATGTCCAAAACTCCTTAAATCACAAAATTCACTTCACATGAGGGAATCATTGATTGGGAGGTATTTACAGCTCGCTTCTCATAAAGGAGCCATAAATCACTTGGGGAGAACAGGAACTGATTTGGAGTAGTTATTTTTCTTGTAACAGAATCGAAAAATGTCCACTTTTCTTTATGGACGTGAAACGAAGTCTTCCACACACATCCAGTTCCTGTGAGCTCCGTCTCCTGAACTCTCCGTGGCGCTCCAGTCTCTCTCCACGACACTCGGTGGGATCAGGTGCCATCATCAGAGAGCAGTAATCCAGGAGAAGAGAAATCTCTTGATTCTTTTCTTTAAGTTAGGTCGCTTGACGCTCAGTCAGGGCTCATGGTTCAACATGTCATGCAGCGAGGTCTCATGTTTAAGGGCTGAGGGTTGGGGTCAACCTGATTGCAGAAAATGGAAATAAAGAAACATAAGATGAAGGCTAAATAGGCATTTCTCTGAGCAAAACCTTCAGCCTTGTGATACATTTTGCCTACACCCACTGACATATGTACAAAAAATACTTCTCTCTAAGCCTTTATATATGCCAATTAAACTGAGAGAACCCTGGGTGTAGGTGGATGTTGTTTCCAGCAGTTGGTGACTCACCTCGCAGTACACTGGCGGAGGTCGGAAGCGAAACTCTTGGACAAAAGCCATGAGGGGGCGCTCCAGAATCCCACTCAGGTCTTCGGCGTGTTGCGATGCAGGAACCGCTGCATTGTTGCGCTGCTCGGCCTCCTCCTCGGTCACCACAGAGCTGTACTCTGGAGGGGCTGCAGGGAAAGAAGCAGGATTAGTCCACTGGTCTGACTAAACAGAACTACACAGGTTCAAACACTAAGCTGCTGAGTCATCAGTGCAGTTAAGACTCTTGAAAACCCACTTAACATTTGCTGCCTTCTGCACTGACAAACAGTGTTTTGATCCAACATGAATCTCTGCTAAATCGAAATCTTTGTTTATACAGGTTGGCATCTGTCAGTCAGTGATCTTAACATCTAAAGAGAGCAGGCCCACAAACAGTTAGAAAGGCCTTTTGAAAAGCGAGAAGTAGCAATTCAATGATTTGGAAGAGCATATTTCTTGAAAAAAAGCAAATGGAAAGTATACACTGTTTAACTTGCTTTTTTACTTTGCTTGTGTAAAAAAATATTTTTTAAGAACTGGGTTTTCAATCACATTTTAACTAACAGATGTCTGTGTGAAAATCAGTGCAGTAATAAATGACACTTACGCTCAGGCTGCTCGGGGATGGCCATGCGGAGCCACTCCAGGTTGCAGCTGTACTGGCTGCTGACGCTGGAGGTCCGGCTGCCGAAGGGATGAAGAGGGATGGTGCCTATGACCAGAGGCAGCTCCAGGCACAGCTTGGTTGTCCCAGGAACATCAACACAAACCTGGTGTGAGGAAAAGAGGAGAGCTTTTAGTGACATCTTTGCAACGTGCAGCATGAAAAGAGGGAATATAACTTTTACATTCCTAAGAAATTAAGTCAGTGTTGACTGGACTCACCTTGAGCATGTACTCCACTTTGATGATGCGGCACTGCAGGATGGAGGGACCCACAGGTGGGATTTTGATGGCGCGGCCGTGCCACGTCTCCCTGCATCTGGCTCCTACAATATCACCAGAAAGCGTGCCCACCACCGCTCGCTTCTGCTTCATGGAGCCGCGGGCGATGAACGTCTGCGTCTGAGTGATGTAAGCTTTGGGCACAACTGATCTGGAGGTACAGTTGTCAAACTCCGCAAAGACAGGTATCACTTCACCTGCGGAGAGGGAAGGTATGTTAGAAATTGCATTCACTTCTAAAATGGCCCATAAAGATTGTGTTTTTAGAGCGAGTTGCTTTAGGGGCTAGCTTCTCACCTGGTGTGTAGCCTTTGCGGTCGATCTTTGCAGTTATAGACACCTGTCCAAAGTTGCGGTACCATGCACGTGCCAATTTGTCCTTCGTTCCAGCCTGTGGCGCCTGGGAATGATGAAAACAAATGAGCATAGTGCCTCAAAATACCCAGAAAACCATTAAGTGTGTAATGACACAATCAAAATGTGAAGGTGGAGATTCTCACCAGCAAGGCTGGCGTGTTGATGTCAATGGACTCGATGACTGTGAACTCCTTCTTGATCTTCCTGACGGTGGCCCATGGCCTGTGCAACTTAACTTTGACCCAGTAACGAATGCTGCCGTGTTTTCCCTCGAAGGAGGTGACCAGCGTCTCCTCAGGCAGCTGGAAGCTGAATGGAAACTCGTGTCTGCCAGCAGGAAGGACGGTAACTTCACCATTATCTGAGGAAAGGAGAAAATTAAATATTGAGTAACTGTTCACACACACTTGTTTTTGCTTCTGGCTTATTTATTTTCCTTTCAAGAGTACCGGACATTAGAGTGACAACAATTACTAGATTACCAATTCCTTTGTGTTGGTGTAATAAAGCATACATAAAGAAATGTTATACTGATTTCAGCCCTATTAAATAAGAAAAGTTTCTCAAACTTTACTGGGATTGATTATCAAATGTGTTAAATGTGGAGTAAGGTGAGTCACAAGAATACATTACAGTATATTCATCTGAAGAGGTAAACAAAGTGCTGATAAAACTATTTTACTAGACACTAGTTCAAACATTGATTAGAAAAGGTTGATTTTCTGGGAAAGTAAAAATAGGTCTTTAAAAGCATGACTCTTGTTCAAATAGAAATCTCTCTATGCAATCACAAGGCTTCTGTGCTTGCTCAGAGGGGCGGATCCTGCTCTATTGTGCTGACTGAGAACATGTTTTCCTCAAGCTGTATTATATAGCCGTCTCAGTGGTTGTTTTTTCCTCTCTCCTGCTGCACAGGTCCAGGAACACGTGTTTGTGTTTAACAGACTCGACGTGTTTTGTGTCACTTTATTAGCTGGAGGCTCTTTCTTGATTTAAATAACAAAGCTATCCCGGTTTAATCCTCTTAATGGGTCAAGTGGGTTGTTTTGAGCTTTCTGCTGTATGGTTTTGTGCACACCAGAAAAAAAACCTTCAAATGTTAAATATAATTTGTTTTTGTTTTATCTTGCAAACAAAATGTATAAAGGAAATCAAACATTGACTGAACATTTCAGGATAAAACTGAAAAAGCCTTGACTGTGAACTTCCTGTCGACACTTGGAGCAACTCTGTGCCCAATGAATGAAGGCAGAAACCTGAGGCTCCCCCACATAGCTGTGGAGAAAAACAACCCAGGAGTTTCTTCGAGTGAGGAGAAGTCTAGTGTAAGAACATTTCGTTCAACAGATGTTTTCACATTGAGAAAGAGGTATAAAGCAGCTGTTGCTCTCATCTTATATTGTAATGTTTTTATACATATATATTTCAGTTATGGCAAAAAAACATTACTGCAGAATAAATAACTACCAGTCACATGCAATGATTTAGTCATATACCTTAGTATATCTTTTGAGCTTTTTTGTAATCTGGACTTTTACTTCTTCAAGGAAGTGGCCATGAACAAAGAAACCCAATCTCTTAACTCCCTAAAAACAGGTAAACTTCATTTTGACTTATTTCACAAAGAATTAAATGATCCAGTCAATTGTGCATCTACAACAGCAACAAGTTTAAAAACCAAGACATAGCCAAAAAACATCTCAGATGTGAGGAAAACAACTGCACTACAAAAACAAGTCACAACTTGACTGCAGCACAAAAAAGCAAGACTGTTTATGATCCGTTAAACTCTCATTCTAAATCATAACAAAAAACAAAAATCCCAGTTTGCAAACAACTAGACCAGTGACAAAAACACCACTGCTATCGTTTCATTCTTTTGGCATTTGCTCAATGAGAGGTCTGGATCCCCATGCTAGCCGACACTTTGATAAGTTTACAGAGAGGATGCTCCTCCAGGTTCCCCCCCATCCCCGCGCCTGCACAGCGGACTGACCTGCCTGCAGCAGCACCTCTCTCCGGTTCAGGTACTCCACCTCGTCGCTGTAGTTCTGGGTGTAAGCGGTGCTGGAGCCGGCGGACCGGGACTCGGTCCAGTGCACTTTAGCGAATCCTTCTGCGTGCAACTTCAGGGACTCAACCCGACTCTCCCCGGACAGGTCCAGCACCACCCGACCGGACACCACGTCCCCGCTGCTGAACACCGGAGGACAGTCCACCTCCGGAGAGTCGAAGACGATGTCAAACTTTTTTAACTTGTCGAAAATCATTTTTGCAGGCTATGTAATTCCTCTCGAAAGCAAAAGTGAGTGATTCACTTATTCTTCTCCCCGCAATATATCAAAAGTGTTATGAAGTGGATCTTCAGACTGCAGGTTAATTGTATTCACTTGTTTAAAGCTCAAACTGAGAAGTGCTTTTCAGTCTGCAGCCCTATTTGCAGGCTAAGAAAGTGGGCGGGATTGTTTTATGTAAGGCTTAGGGAGAGGGTTGAGGGCTGATGCTGCCTTCAGGAGCTCCTCCATTATACCGACTTCTCAGTGCTGCACTTGTAAAAAGGGATATCCAACTGCATTTGGCTACTTTGTTTGGTCAAAATCAACAACAAAACGTATCAAGAAAGTTTCAATTAGAGATTTGGGAGTTAGAACAAACATTGCAGCAGCTTTTTCCATAAGTAAATCACACTTTCAAAAACTTTGTGTGGGACGAGTGAAATAAGCTGACAGTCCAGTCCTGAGAACTTAGGTTTATAGTAAAATTCTCACTTATCAAGTTTCCGCGCCGAACTTGAAGGCAACATAATAAGCATACAGACTGGGTGTGGAGGCAGCAGAGAGGAAAACAGGGCCTGCTGGTGATTGATAGTTACAGGTTCTCGAAGAAAACAGGCTCTGAGCATGCCTCCGTCTGGCAGAGATCCGCCCTGCTCAGCTCAGAGAAAAATAGTTTCATTGTGGACCAAAGTTGTTTACTCCACTTCTTCTATGTCACTTTTGACATACCGTTACACAGCATATGGAAAACACACAGCTATGCACAATATTATGCAATTTATGCCAGCAGATCCCTGTATGAATAAACAACTACAGTCATTCAAACTTCAATGATAGATTGATACAAGCATACAACACACACATCACAGAAAAAACGACATGTTCCAGAATAACTAAAATGTATGCAACGTGTATTGAATCATAGCACCCATCCAGCCTTTTCACAACACATTAAAGTCACTTTCAACAGTTGCAAACAAAGACAATTTGGAGCAAATTGACTTTTCTTGCAAATTCTGCAATCAATGAACCAAACAAACACTGCTTCGTTTCCCCACTGGGTTAGTCTTGTCATTCAATTTAAAAGTCCTTGCAACAAAAATCAAGTCTGGTCTGAGAAAAACAAAGTTGTTTACTCTCCTTTGTTCCCTGAGAGCAAGAAGTTGGCTCTCCAGTGCCACCGTCTGGTTATGTATGAGGCAATGTGCACAGCTGTAAGGAAATGTTTTTACACAGCCTGAACTGAACTGGAGATGCGTGTGATTCTGGGAAAAGACTTAAAGTAAATTGGAATAGAAGAATAATCAAGTTAGGCATTTGCAAGAGCTTTCCAACTTAGAATCTCCTCACTGTTAATTCACTCCTTGCTGGTAAGAATACAAGTAGAAAGTACAAAGGGCTTTTCCTTTCCTCAAGTAAAATTGGTTCCTTCTACTAAAAATGGGTGAAATAAGCAGCAGAATTATGACATATTTTGGGAGGTCAGTTGTCCAATTTGCATCACTGGTGTTTTTCTCCTGAATGATATCCAGAAAGTTCTGACCTGGGGAGAAATACAGCCCAGCACGCCACCTGCTGGTGTCCGGGAGCAGCAGCCTGGCTCTGTCTCCCTGCCTGGGACCTGATAAGATGAACATGTGGGTGTCTACACACAACTTTGGGCCTGATAAACATTACAGCTATGCAGATGACTCAGTATGAGCACCCTAATCATGGCTGAAAGCCCTTTCCTACTGCTGCAGACTAAAGTAAACTTATTCATTCATCTATTTCTCTTTGTTCACTAAAAGAGCTACTGCTGAGTGTGCTACATTGCTACAAAATATTAACATTGAGGCACTACATACTTAAGAGCAAAGTTGGGCATGATAAAGTGTTATTCTTAGATGGGTTTGCATGAGAGATATGTCTTTTTTTTTCTCCAACTCCCAGCTCTTAAACTTGAACTCCTGAATGCACAGCCAAACTATTTTCTGAAACCGGACATATACATTCCTGCCTTTAAAACAAAGTGGGGGAAAAAAAGCTTAAAATGTTTACAAAAAACACAGAAAGGTAAATGAGGTATAAGCGACAACATGTTGTAAAATGAATGGAGAGCAGCAGCTGTGTGGTGGAGGAGGACGGGCCATGGGGAGCCACGTGTTGTTTTTCTAGTAACCGCGGCAACAGCTGCATTTTTCAAACAGCTCCCGGCCCTTACTCTTTCCTTCCTTCACCCTCTGTCTTTCACTTTCTCACAACTTAATGTCCCATGTAAATAGAACCAAACACAGCATCCTTTTTTCTTCTTTTGAACATAAAATGTACTGCTTATCCTATTGCTTTGCACATAAAAACAAAACATCAATATGACAAGATTTATTTCCTCAAGGGATTTGAAACATACATGAGAAGCTGAAGCTTTGCAAAAACAAAAAAGGCACTGTTATTTCCTTCACAGATTCTATAGATAACATTGGTCTACAGAATGTCGGTCTGAAAGACATTTAAAGCTCAGACCACAAACACACTGACAGCACCAAGCTCTCTAATGGTGGTACCTGTCCACAATCCAGAAACAGACTTGATTTGGAAATAATATTGTTGATTTCAACATTGTATTGTTTCATAGCAACAGAAGCGTTTCTCCGTATGATTAGGGTCTGGGGTCAGGATGATGGTCATGGCAAAAGGCTCAACAGCACCACCTAGAACACAGTCCCTGCTGTGTGTTTGTCCTAGATGTATACAATATGGTAGGTACATGTAACATGTAGAGACTACCAAGAAAATCTATTGGAAGTAAACCGTATCAAATGTGTTGATGTAGTGGATCAATCAAATGCTGGGTTTCAAATGGCCATCAGATGGCTCGTTTCAATAGACCAATCAAATGTCTTGATGTAGTGGATCATAAAATTGCCATGTTTCAATTGGCCATCAGATGGCTTGTTTCAATTAATCAATCAAATATCTTGTTTTAATTGGCCAATCAGGTTACTTGTTTCAATGGGCCAATCAGAGGGCTTGAAGCAATTTTCTCAAAACAACCACAGCAACACCAAACTTTAATTGGGCAGAGGATGAAGAAGCAAAATCACTGAGATAAATAATAGATAAATTAACACTAAATGTAAATATTGATTAACAGTCGATTACTGGTAATCTATAAAGTTAAATGTTAGCTTGCTTTTCTGCATCAGTTAAAAATATCAGCGCTGGTTACTGATAGTAACTGGCAAATGAAATGTTTAATATTTCATTCTTTATAATTTATTTAAAAAAAGATGGATAATCAATTGGGCAAAGCCTGTGAGCTTGTTCACGCAGTCAACCCGAGCACCAATGATACATTTACACGTGATACGCCTCGTCCCTCTTACAACCAACCACGGTGTGTGATTTCAGCTGAAATTGACCTATTAAAATAGAAAACCTGCCTGGTGCACCTTTATTTGCAATTTGAAACTTGTTTGAACATTCTGCTAAAGCAACAACACACATTTTGTTTTATCCAAGATATCACCACCATTCGTATTTACCTTTCCAACCAGACTGGGAAGTCAACCGGGGATACTGTTTACAGAGCATCTGATAAATCAGTAACCACTGTCTACAGTTTATTTACTCACCTTCTATGGCCTATATTCTCTGCCTGTCTGATTTTAAGCTGCCTTGTGCTTTCCACGCCCAGGGAATTTCTCACTTTAGAATGTTATGTCCAACATAGAACTGAGTTAACCAGTAGTGTTTATTTGAACTCAGCACAAATGGATTTGTGTTTAATGTTAGAATTAGGTTATCTGGCAGATGTATTTGGATGAGCAGTGTCGACTTTTTTCCGAGGTTTCCATGCAACAAATTTGGCCCAGGTGGCTTGATTTTGCAAACTGCAGCAACTACAAGACACAGTGGCCACCAGCTGGCACATGAAAGAGCATATCAGCATTTTTTTCTGCACATTATTCAATTTAGAAAGAGAACTTCTACATCCACCAGCTGCCATACATGCTGATGTTCTGTTACTATGTATATCACAGCAAAGCTTTAAAAAGATGGATGATATCTTACAAGAATATGATACAATAGGGGATGACATTTTTTAAATCTACTCAATAGTTTATTTAGTCACCTTCGCACAGCTTTTGGATTGGCTTTCTTCACTGAACTAGCTCTAATAAATTGCTTTTCTTTTTGCTAAATTACAAAAAACTAAACTCAAAATATAGAAATGAAGGACACAATTAAAAACAGTATATGGCAAGTTTAGTAAGTTACCTGTTCAACAAACACGCCAGTTACAGCAAATCAGCTGGGTTTTACTTGTGGTTATCTTGATAAATAAACACAGTGACTATAAATAAACACGAAGAGTACTATTAACCATATATCTGCAGCCTTTACCACTGACCTCGAATCAGATGCTGTCTCTTTCTGAAGTACGTGATCTTGGAGGTGTAGTCATTATAGACTGAGTTCATGCCACGGTTCTCCAGCCAGTGTGCTATGGCCACCCCTCGACCCTGCACCTTCATGGAGTGCACCCTGGTGTCCCTGCGGAGCTCTAGGACCACCTGGCCGGACACCAGCTCCCCTCCGGTGAACGCTGCATCAGCTGGACCATCCAGCTCCAGCTTGAAAGACTTTATGTTGTTCAACGTCATTCCTGGAGTGGAGACAATAAAGAGTTTGATAAGCTTGGGAGCTGTAAGAAATACCCATTGTGTATAGTAGAGATGTGTGTATTGGGAATTGGTTTCCATTGCTGTTAAAAACACACTGCAAATAGTCAGAGGGGGACCAAGGACAAGCAAATAATAGGCCTATATATGAAATCCTTTATTAACTTTTTACAAATAATTGGGAAAGTAACAGAACATATTGTACATTTTTGTTATTTATCACAGGGATCTTATTTTTAGGGTGGGGTTGGGTGGTTCTGTTAAAGGTGGGGTAGGTAATTTTGGAGAAACCAGCTCGAGTGCGCTAGAATTTGAAAATACACAGCCGGAAAAAATCTGCCACTTCCTTACAGAGCCCCTCCTCCAACACACACCGCGCACATGACCAATGAGGGCACGAGATAAGTTTGTGCACAGATGGAAGGCTGACAGGCAGGTCGGCCATCCAGTTATTTTAGCCGGGCCGGCTAAAATGATTGGTCGTGCTTTTTACAGCGCTACGG